GCCCCACCCTGTCCGTGTATTTTGGGCCCCCTCCCATCTTGAGGATGAGGAAGGGGGCATTCGCACTCGTTGGCAGGCCTTCTTGTCTTTTGGAAACGCCGTGGCGGATGACCTCGCTAGCGATGCTGCTGCCCGCGGGTTTCAGTTAGCCACCGAGTCCAAGGAAGTGCCTAGGACGGATGAGCTTGATGTGATTGCCTGGCTAGTCCGCCGTCGGGCGTCCCAGGCCCTCCAGGACACGGCTGCTGTAGATCCGTGGGAAGGAGAGTGGGCGGGCTCTGCTGTGCCGCGCCAGCGCATCTCCCGCAGAGTCCAGGTTCTGCGGGACTCCACCCACGTCTTCCAGCGCGCTGGTGGCAGGTGGAGGTGCTCCGCTTGTGGCGAGGTCGCCACCACCACCGCCCTGGAGGCGGCCGCAAGGAGGCCGTGCCGCCCCCCTCCCATGACCTCCTCCTCCGCCACCACCCCCAATATGTCTGGGGTCACCATTCGGCGTGAGTCGGGGACGGTGTGGGTGGGGGGCCGAAAGGTTGACCCCAGACATCAGATATGGTCCTGGGATCTTATGAGTCTGAAATTTTGTATGCTGTGTGGTTTCACTGCGACCCTCGACGGACGCCACCTCTCGCGGCCTTGCGGGCCCGCCGTCACGGGAGCGGCGCGCTCCAAGAAGGGACAGTGTAACCTCGTGCGAATTTCTAAGGGCCTGCACCCGTGCCCCCAGGGGGCGCCTGAAGTGGCCCGATCTCTGCTTTGATGAAGGCATGGCAAGGACACTGGTCCTCAGTGGTGATCTCCTGGTGATCTCCTCCCTTCTTCTCTTCCTCCTTCTCCTCCTCCTCCTCCTCCTCCTCCTCCTCCTCCTCGTCCTACTCCTCCTCCTCCTCCTTCTCCTCCTCCCCCTCCATCCTTCCCCCTCTATCTTCCTTCCTTTTTCTCCCTCCGCACCCTCCTCTTCTCCCTCCTCCCTCCTCCCTTTCCCGTCCCTCTTTCCTCCCTCATCCCTCCTCCTTCCTCCTCCTTTCCTTTTTCGTCCCCCTTGTCTCCTCCCTCCTCCTGCCTCCCTCCTCCCTCCTCCCTCCTCCCTTCCCCTTCCGTCCTCCCTCGTCGCTCCCGCTTGATACTTCCTCACCGTTTACTCAGGACTGGGGCCCTCGTTTCGGCATCGCCTCTGGGGCTTCAAGAGTTCCTGTTGAACCTTAATGATTAGATATGTATGGTTTTTGGAGAGCATAGATAATGTGGAGGAGGAGAAGGAGAAGAAGGAGGACGGATGACTTCCAGGGGCTCCACGGATCGAGGGTCGAAGGATTGAATGCAGGGATTCCTTGAGAGGGTGAGGATGGGGCAAGTGGAGCATGCGAACATGGGAGCGGCAGCGCTTGGGGGCGTGAACGTTCAGGGTCCCGCGCCGAGGCCTCAGGATGGTGGCGTAACAGTTTGAACGAGGAATAAGAACCACTTCGTCCTCGGAGGTACTGCTACTACAACCACTCCTCCTTCCTCCCCTTCCTCCATCCTCCTCCTTTGCCTCTTCCTCTCCCTCATCTTCCCTTCCCTCCTCGTTCTCTTCCTCCACCTCCGAGATGCGGGGCGTGTGCGAGGCGACTGCGATGGCGATGTGCCGTCCGAGCCGTTGATGCCGAAGTTCCTCGAAAGAGGTGGTGGCAATATTCTCTTGGGCGGGAGATCTGGGCGAAGGAATATCGGACCCCGCGCGCCAGACAAATACCCCGTGATGGAACGTGGTGTCCAGAAGGATGCGTGTGACATGTGGAAGCATGGCGCATGATGGTAACATGATTGTTGTTGTTGTTGTTGTTGTTGTTGTTGTTGTTGTTGTTGTTGTTGCTATCGTCGTCCCTCTTGCGACCCGGCCCGCAACCCACCCCCGTGAACAGGATCGCAGGGCGGTGCGCAGGGGCGAGGCGGTGGCCAGGTGGGCGGTCAGGGTCGCTTCCGAGCGAGAAATTGTCGGGTGGGGGGCCCCAAGAACATGATCCGGAGGATGGGTAGTGTCGGGGCGAGGTGGTGGCCAGGTGGGGGGCCAGGGTCGCTTCCGAGCGAAAAATTGTCGGGTGAACAATGCCAGAGTAACACAGTGTCTTGCAAGCGAGGGTGGTCGTAGTGGATGTCGTCACCAGGTGCACCGTTGAATCGCACGCGCCCCAGGGGCCGGCGGATGGGAGAGGCCATACGTCCAGCGCTGGCGACCCTGAACAACGACGGCGACGACGACGACGACGACGACGACGACGACGACGACACCGACGACGACACCGACGACGACGACGACGACGACGATCACGACGACGACGACGACGACGACGACGACGACGACGACGACGACGACGACGCAACGACGACGACGACGACGACGACGACGACGACGACGACGACGAGCGCTCTCGGGTGTTTCTTGGGGGTAGTTTTGGTCCCCTTGGGCCGCTCTTGGGGGTCTCTTGGGAGCCTCGTGTGGTCCTCTTGGGGTTTCCTGGGGCTTTTGGGGGCTGCTTGGGAGCCTTTCAGGCCGAGCGCTCGAAATATCTGTTCGGATCCCCCGTCTGGGTTCCATCTTGGAACCGTTTTCGGGGCCGCTTGGGCTGTATGGGGTGCCTATTGGGCGGTCTTGGGGCCCTCTTGGCTCGTGTTGGGACCCTTTTGGGCGCTTCTTGGGCGATCTTTGGGGCCTCTTGGGCTGTTTTGGAACGTCGGGAAGCCGACATGGCGAGAACGCCAAAATTTCCCAAACAACTTACAAGAACATCGGTGATGATTGTCCCTTGGGGCCCTCTTGGGAGCGCTCTTGGAGGCTTCCTGTTTTTTTTGTTCAACTTCGTCGGCCGTCTGGAGGCTACTTTGGCGCCTTGGGCCGGTGATTCGGCGATTCGGGGCCCTCGAGGACCGTCTTGGGGGCCTCTTGGGGCACTGTTGCCGAGTCTTGGGGCTTTTCTGGGCTTCGGAACCGCCCCAGGGGAACGCGCATCTGGGGGGCGACCCACCCCCGAGACTCCTCCCCCGGGGCCCAGCCCGGGGTGTCATCCCCTGGCCCCCCCCCCACCCCCCACCCCCCCCTCTCTGGCGAGGAAGGGATCGAATGGAAGGGGCTTCCCTTCGACTCAGCAGCGACGTTGCTCAGTGTCGGTTTGGCTGGTGCGCTTACGGCCCAGGGAAAGAAGACGGGGGACGACGGAGACGACGACTGACGCAGACGACGATGAGACGACGGAGACGGAGACGACGACGGAAACGCCGAGGAGACGACGGAGACGACACGACGACGACGCCGACCGACAGGGTCGGCGGATTTCTGCGGGGATGAGGCGCGCATGTTGTTGCCCTCGCACTCTCTGCCTTCTTCCGCACCTGGCTCCGTGCCCGAGGTGCGCGGTGGAGGCGAGCATTGGCCGAACAGCTGGGGCCCTCTCTGAGGCCGCGGGATTCGCTCGGGCCCCCCTTCCAGAGGCGGGCGAAGCTGGCGGCCTGTAACGGCGTGGTGCGTTGCAGTCGGGGCGCGCATCAAGAAACCCTATGTTTTTCGTCAGGGTATCTTGGGGTTCTTCGCTCCTCGCGCTGCGCGGTGACTTCCCGCAGCCGTTGAAGGAGTTGCTGCGTTCAGGGTGCTCCAGGTTTCCCCTCAGGTGCACCTCGCGCACGGGTTCTCAGGGTTGGGTTTCTTGCGGCCGCGCCCGCACTGTACGATACTGAAGGTGAGGTTTGATCTATGAACCTGCTTACACTTTTTCGGGAGGAGCCTCTCCTGCGCAGCCTACACCTGCATCAGAAATGGACCGTCTCAGAAACCCCACACCGCTACCCGGCCACGCCGCTTGCCTTGCCTTGCCCGTTGCAGCTCCTACCCTCTGAGACGATAATGGGAGCCTTTCGTTGTCCCTTCGCCTGGCGCTCCTGCGTCCCTGGTGGTCCGCAGTGGCCTGCCGGCGCCACTGGAGGCCACGTGGGCCCACTGGAGGAGCCACGGGAGGCCATCGGAGCCACTGCAGCATGCCGGGTGAGTGCGAAAGGCTGTCAGGAACGCCCTCTGAACACCTCTCCCTGGTCCTCAGATCTCGGGCCGGACGAAAGGGGGGGGGATTGGGAAAGGGCGGGGGTACGAAATCTCCTGCATGCAGCTGGTTTCGGCCCCACCGAGGGGCCCATTCCTCGATACATAGCCTTGCCCCCCCTTTGCTATCCCCCCCTTTCGCCCGGCCCGAAGATCGCGGCCTCGGTCCCCCCGCTTCTCGCGGCAGCCGCGGGCAGCTGGTGGGCCCGCGTCGGCGAGCAGCTGGGCCTCCTGGTGCCGAGGCGACCTCCCAGAGCTCTGAGGTGGAGGTTCGGCCGCCATGCTTCCGAGGGTGGGGTATATGTCAGGGAAGGACGAGGTACCGTTAAGTCGGGCCTGTCCCCCTTCAGGGGGATTTTCGACGAAAAATGAAAAATACTCCAAAAATGATCAAAAAATAATCCTAACATAGTCTGGGGACTATTTTTTTGAATATGTTTTGACCTCTTCAATGTATTTTCGGGGTATTCTTTAATTTTTTCGTCGACACCCCCCCCCTGTAGGGGGACAGGGCCGACCTAAAGGTACCGACACCCCCTCGTTTTGCAGTTTTGGCCTCCGGGGAACACCTCGTCGCCACGGCTGGCTTCGCTTCGAGATCCCGATCAGAACGCACCGCGGGAGAGGTCGGGGCAGTAGCCCAACTGGCACATTGCTCTCTTGAGTTATCCAAGTCCACCGCCTGGGAAGTCGATTCCTCGGCCGCGGCAGGCGTTCGATCGTATATCTTCAGGCCCCCCTGGGGCAAAGATCTGTCAATATCCCCCCTCTTAGGGGATCGGTTCCCCAGGCGGTCGATCTGGAGAACTCCCGCGTAATTCTGGAGGCACTCCTCCATCCTTCGCACGCTTTAGCCACCGTCCTGGCAGCCTCCCTCGAGACTTGTCCGGCCCCTCCTGGGGGCTGGCCCCAGAGGTTCGTCCCGCCCCGCCAGGAGGAGCTTGAAGGTGAAGAAGCAGACCCCGCTGACAACCATCGACGAGGAGTCAGGGCGGCAGAATAGTTTTGTCCATTACGTTTTGTGTATGCGTATACGTATAAACAAAAACATGCCTCTCTCTCTCTCTCGGTGCCCACCTCCGTCACTCTCTCCATCTCCCTCTCTCTGTCTTTCTCTCTTTCTTTCTCTCACTCTGTCTCTCTCTCTCTCTGTCTCTCTCTCTCTCTGTCCCTCTCTATCTCTCTCTCTTTCTATCTCTCTCTCTCTCTCTCCCTTTATTGTTTTTTTTTGTTCTCTCTCTCTCTCTATCTCTCTGTTTCTCACTCTCGCTATCTCCCTCTCTCTCTCTCTCTTTCTCTCGCTCTCTCTCTCTCTCTCTTTCTCTCTCTCTCTCTCTCTCTATATATATATATATATCGATATGGATACATATATATATAGAGAGAGAGAGAGAGATTCCGAGCAGTGCTTGCACTGCTTGGGATCTAACTTTCTTTCCTCACGACCTGGGCCTGGCTGTCGGTCCGCCCGCCCGCCCGCCGCCGCCGCCGCCGACGCCCGGCGGCTTGCCGGTCCGCGCGCTCCGCGCGCCGCCCGCCGCCGCGGGCGTGCCGCGGGCCTGCCTCGCTCCAGTCGGGGGCGGCCAAGGGGGGGGGAGGATTAGGGGGGGCCCTGACCTCCTCGCGCTGCGGAGGATTAGGGGGGGGAGGATTAGGGGGGGACTAGGATTAGGGGGGAGGATTATAGGGGGGGAGGATCAGGGGGGAGGACTAGGGGCGGCCAAGGGGGCGGGGAGGATTAGGGGGGGCCCTGACCTTAGTGGGCCCTGGAAACGACATGGCCGTTTTTTTACCGGTTCCGTTTTGCCGTTCTTTCCCCGGTTCCGCCGCCGTTTTTTTACCGGTTCCGTCGCTGACCGGTTCCGGCTCCGGTTCCAATCCTGGAGCCGTTTTTTGGCCGTTTCCGGTCGCCGTTTTTTTTGCCGTTTTCACTTTCAAGGGACCTTTTTTTGGGAAATGGTGAAAAAAAGCCTTGCCGTTTCCGGGGCCCACAGAGGCCCTGACCTCCTCGCGCTGCGGGAAAAAACGCGACGGTCACCACCCACCAAACCACCCCAACCCAACCCGAAGGCCTCAATTTGCCCTCCATTTCCAGTTGGGGGGGGTCGGGGAACATCGAAAAAACACGTATGGAACCCGTACCCCCCCCAACCCGAAATTGGGGTCTTCGGGTTGGGTTGGGGTGGTCTGGTAGGTAGTCAGACGGGGGGCTTTCGCTACAATTTCGGCCTCCGGGGGCCCCTCATTGGGCCTCGGGCCTCGGGGCCGTCAGAAGACGACTCCGGTCAGTATCGGTTAACCTAACCCCAACCCCATGAAGCCTCCCACCAGCCCACCCCCTCCCGCCGCCCCCGACTTGGGGATGTACCCTCCAAAACCCGAGGGAGACGGCCTATATCCCCATCTCGGGGGGTAAATCCCCAAGTGGAGAAAAGGCCACCTAGATGGGGATAGGGTTCGGATAAACGATGCCCATCCGGACGAAAAACCGGTCCCGGGGGGGAGGTCCAGACCTTTGGAGGCCGACGTGGTGAAAAGAAACACAACGTCGGGGGTCTGGGGGGGTGGATATCATGGCGGGGGCCATGAGATCTCCCCAGATCTCAGGGCGCTTCTTCTGATCTCAAGACGTCCCTTGCCCCGCTCCTGGGCCGCGCACATGCCTCGGGTCACGATTTGCGTGTGGGAATGCTTCAGTGTTGGCTTTCTATAGGAATCCTTTTTGTAGAGGCTCCTAGTCGGAAGTTTCAGGAGTCCTGGATTCTTCCCGAGGAAGGTTTTAGGACGGTTTTTTGTTGTAAGGAAGGTTCCAGGAATCACAGGCTCTTCCTGCGAAGGGGTTAGGAAGGTTTCTTTGTTTTGGAAGGTTGTAAGGATCCTGGATTCTCCCGGAGGAAGGTTTTAGTAAGGTTTTTGTTTCATCAGGTTCCAGGGTTCCTGGTTTCTGGCAGAGGAATGGTTTAGGACAGTTTTTTGGAAGGTTCCAGGAATCCTGAATTATTCTGGAGGATTTCATACATATATATATATATATATACACGTGTGTACATATATATATGTTTATATAAAAGGAATTCGGAATTCTTCCTAAGGGGGGTTTTAGGAAGGTAAAAGGTTTCGATCGGAATCCTTCTGCAGAGGCTCTCAATAGGAATCCTTTTGTAGAGGCTATCAATAGGAATCCTTTTGTAGAGGCTGTCACTAGTAAATATTTTGCATTGGCTTCCAATTGGAATCCTTTCGTAGAGGCTCTCAACAGGAATTCCTTGGCACAGGCTCTCAATAGGAATCCATGTGTATCGGGCTTCAATCGGAATCATTTTGTATTGCCTTTCGATAGGGATCCTTTATTGTAGAGGCTCTCAATCGGAATCGTGTTGTAGAGACTTCCAATAGGAATCGTTTTGTAGAGGCTCTCTATATGAATCCTTTTGTAGAGGCTCTCGGTAGGAATACTTTCGTAGAGGCTCTCAATCGGAATCCTTGCGTCTTAGCTTTCAATCGGGATCCTTTCTGTAGACGCACGAAATGTTCTTAGAACATTTCTGGCTGGGACCGTCTTGTTTGAACAAATCGGGCTGATGGTCTGAGAACATCGTTCTTGCTCTTCGAACGTGTTTGGGTTCTAGGAACATCCCGTGGTAGGACTACTAGGAATGCCGGGACGGTCGGTCCCTGCAAGAGGGAGCTTGGATGGAGGGTTTATTCCAACATCGTTGATGCCTCTTGGGTTTACACTGGTCCTCCTCCTCCTCGTCCTCGTCCTCCTTCTCCTTCCCCTCCTCCTCCCTCTTCCTCCTCATCCTCCTCCTCCTCCTCCTCCTCCTCCTCCTCCTCCTCCTCCTCCTCGGGAGGGCCCAGGAGTCCCGCAAGAGGCCCAGGACGACTCCAAGAGGCCCCCGCGAGGCCCAAAGGACGCTCCCAAACGGCCGCCGACGGGCGCCCCGAACGGCCCCAAGAGCATCCCAAACGGCTCTAAGAGGCTTCAGAGGCGCTCCAAAGACGCTCTGCATGTAAGGGGGCGGAAGGACAAGGAGTAGGAGGAGGAGGAGGAGGAGGAGGAGGAGGAGGAGGAGAAGGAGGAGGCGGAGGACCACGGGAGGGAGGAAGTGACACGGAGGAGGAGGACGATGACGGGAAGGAGGAGGCGTGGACTCGAAGGAGGCTGGGCTTATCAGAAGGAGGAGGGTGGCAAGGTGAGTGGCCTCGGTGATTCTGGAGGATCAGAATGAGAGCGGAGGAGAAGAGAGGGGGGAGAAGAGGAGGCCGAGGTGTAGGAAGAGAAGGAGGAGGAGGAGGAGGAGGAGGAGGAGGAGGAGGAGGAGGAGGAGGAGGAGGAGGAGAGGACGAGGAGGGGAGAGGAGGAGGAGGAGGAGGGAAGGAGGAGGAGGAGGAGGAGGAGGAGGAGGAGGAGGGGGGGGAGGAGGGGACAACGGCGCCCAGGGCGGCCCAAGAGGGCTCCAGGACGGTCCCAAGAGGGGCCCCTGAGGGGTGGTACGGACCGAACATCAGAGGCTTCCGCCCCAAGAAGCTCTCATGAGGGCCCAAGAGTCCCGCAGGAGGCCCCGAGAAGGCTCCAAGAGGACCCCCCCCTCGCACCAGAACGCAGGCACCACCGGCAGTTTCGGGGGCCCGCGCCGACGCTCTTGCGCCCCGCCGGGGTCCAGCCCTCCAGCTCTGCAGCCTGCAGCTTCTGCGGCTCTCCGGCCCTTCCAGCTTTCCCACCCCCCCACCCCTTCTAGCTTTCCCCCACCCCCCTCCTCCTCCTCCCCCTCCTCCTCCTCCTCCTCCTCCTCCTCCTCCTCCTCCTCCTCCTCCTGCTCCTGCTCCTGCTCCTGCTCCTGCTGCAGGGCATGCCTGCGCTCCTCCTCCTCCGTCATCCCCCTCCCCCTTACCAAGCCACCCTCGAACCGCCGCCGCCAGGACCAGGAGGGCGAAAGGCCGCGCGCTGCCACCTGGGCGCCCGGCTACGCCGAGGACCGCGGGCTGGGCGCCCGCCCGGGGGTCGGCTGGGCGAAGGGAGAGGTCTGGGCTGTTGTATCGATGGCGAGGAGGAGGAGGAGGAGTTAGGACAGTTAGGATAGTCAGGGCAGTTAGGAGTTAGGAGTCAAGAGGAGGAGGCGGAGGAGGAGTTAGGAGCCAGGAGGAGGAGGAGGAGGAGGAGGAGGAGAGGAGGAGGAGGAGGAGGAGGAGGAGGAGGAGGAGGAGGGAGGAGGAGGAGGGGAGGAGGAGGAGGAGGAGGAGGAGGAGGCGGAGGCGAGCGGAGGCGGAGGCGAGGCGGAGGCGGAAGGCGGAGGCGGAGGCGGAGGCCGGAGGCGGAGGCGGAGGCGGAGGGCGGAGGGCGGAGGCGGAGGCGGAGGCGGGAGGCGGAGGCGGAGGGCGGAGGCGGAGGCGGAGGCGGAGCGGAGGCGGAGGCGGAGTGCGGAGGGTCGGAGGCGGAGGCGGAGGCGGGAGGCGGAGGCGGAGGCGGACGTTTCCTGCTCCACGCGGAGCGGATAGGCGGGAGGCGGAGGCGGAGGCGGAGGCGGAGGCGGAGGAGGAGGAGGAGGAGGAGTGAGGAGGAGGAGGAGGAGGAGGAGGAGGCGGAGGAGGAGGAGGAGGAGGAGGAAGGAGGCGGAGGGCGGAGGCGTGGAGGGCGGAGGCGTGAAGGAGGAGGAGGAGAGGAGGAGGAGGAGGAGGAGGGAGGAGGAGGAGGGAGGAGGAGGAGGAGGAGGAGGAGGAGGAGGAGGAGGAGGAGGAGGAGGAGAGGAGGAGGAGGAGGAGGAGGAGAGGAGGAGGAGGAGGAGGAGGAGGAGGAGGAGGAGGAGAGAGGCGGAGGAGGGGGAGGGGGAGGGGAGGGGAGGGGGAGGGGGAGGGGGAGGGTGAGGGGGGAGGGGGAGGGGGAGGGGGAGGGGGGGGAGGGGGAGGGGGGGAGGGGGGGGAGGGGGAGGGGAGGGGGAGGGGGAGGGGGAGGGGGGAGGGGTGAGGGGAGGGGGAGGGGAGGGGGAAGGGGGGGAGGGGGATGAGGGGGGGAGGGGGAGGGGGGAGAGGAGGACAGGAGGAGGGAGGAGGAGGAGGAGGAGGAGGAGGAGGAGGAGTGGGAGAGGAGGGGAGGGGAGGAGGGGGAGGAGGAGGAGGAGGAGGAGGAGGAGGAGGAGGAGGAGGAGGAGGAGGAGGAGGAGCAGTCAGGATGCACTTCGTGTGATGTTTAATTGACCATTGGCGCTGGCCTTTCCGTGGCCGATCAATCCGTCTCTTGCCGTTTTTTTTTAACCCCGGCTAGTATAGCTCCATTTGGGTAAGCAGAGATTAAGTTGGAAGCATCTGCCTCAATATGTTATGTTTGTATCGGGCTGAATCGCCTTTCAGTGCTTCCTAAGAGGAGTAGATCGGCGGAAGGGGGAGGAGCATAACATAATAAAGACAATTCAGCGACACATAATTGTGACTTGTCGGAGGTACGTGGAGTAAGTATGAGGAGAGCGGGAAGGGACGCACCCAGGAAGAAACACCAGAACGACCACAATGGTCAGAGGTCCGCGGAGCAGGAGGAGAGGGGGAGGAGAAGCACCGCGAAACATACAAATCATCATAAGCATACGTTCCGGAGATGTTCGAAGTAAGATGAGGGGGCTGAATCGCACCAGGCTAGGACGAGGGAAGATCCGTTCCAGTGCGGTCCGAAACGCTCTTAGAGCGTCCTGAACGCTCTGAGAAGGCCTGTGCGCCCGAGACATCCTCACGAGCTGCCCGATCTCAGAGATTTTCGATGTTTCCTCACCCGATTTCATCCTCGTCCTGGCTTCGTCTTAGTGAGGAGAAGGACGGACTGAGGCAGATCAGTATCACCACAATTGTCGGAGGTCCGCGAAGAAGGAGGTCTGCGTTGTCCCTGGCCGGAAGTCGGGCGTTGCCCCCTACAGGAGGAATATTCACAAATAGTAAAAATATTGTTTGGGACGGTGTTTCGACGCTTTTTTGCTTCCGGGTTTTTTTGGGGGGCAGTTTTTTTACCTAACAGCGAAGACTGATAGGTTTCTAGTGGTCTCAAAAGAGCTCACAGATCACTCCACAGGGGGGTCCGGGCAGGTGTTGGGGCGTTTCCGGGCGGCATGAGCCGGGCTCGTTTTTCACCAACAGTCACACACTTCGTGCTCTTCGCCTTCCCAGAACTCCATTCCCAGGCACATTCTGGGGGGCCGGATGCAACAGTCACACACAAAGTGCTCTTCGACATCCCAGAACGCCATTCCCGGGCCACATTTCTGGGGGGCCGGATGCAACCTGGAGGTCCACTTCGTGTCTTCGACATCCAGAAACGCCATTCCCGGCCAATCATTGTTTGGAATGGCCCGGAGCCAACTGTAGGCCACTTCGTGCTCTTTCTATTGTGACCAGAACTCCTTCCCGGGGCCGCCCATTTTTGGAAGCCCCGGAGCCCAACCACTTTTTCTGTTTTTGTCGTTTCTTGTTGTTTTTTTGTTTTTTTTTTTTGTTTTTTTTGTGGTAGGCCACTTCGTGCTCGTCGAGTTCCCAGAACTCCATTCCCGGGCCACATTTTGAATGCCCGTAGCCAACTGTAGGCAACTTCGTGCTCTTCGACTTCCCAAAACTCCCATTCCTGGGCTACATTTTCAGCAGGGGCAAGAGCACGACGAGGGGGAGGACGAGCAAGACCAGGAGGACGAGGACGAGCAGGAGCAGGACGAGGAGCAGGAGGAGCAGGAGAAGAAGGACGAGCAGGAGGAGGAGGAGGACGAGCAGGAGGAGGAAGACGACCAGGAGGAGGAGGACGACCAGGAAGAGGAGAGGAGGAGGAGGAGGAGGAGGGGGAGGAGTCCAGGAGGAGGAGGAGGGGAGGAGGAGGAGGAGGAGGAGGAGGGAGGAGGAGGAGGAGGAGGAGGCGGAGGAGGAGAAGAGGAGGAGGAGGAGGGGATGAGGACGAGGAGGAGGAGGAGGGAGGAGAGGAGGAGGAGGACCCGTGGGGAGGCGAGCACCGAAGAAAAGATGAAACGAGGGACCACCAGGAGGAGGAGGAGGAGAGGAGGAGGAGGAGGAGGAAGGAGGAAGGAGGAGGAGGAGGAGGAGGAGGAGGAGGAGGAGGAGGAGGGGGAGAGAACATCACGAGGAGGAGGACGAGCAAGACGAGGAGGACGAGAACGAGGGCGACCAGGAAGAGGAGGAGGAGGAGGAGGAGGAGGGGAGGGGGAGGACTACCAGGAGGAGGATGAGGAAGAGGAGGAGAAGGAGGAGGAGGAGGAGGAGGAGGAGGAAGAGGAGGAGGAGGACGAGGAGGAGGAGGAGGAGGACGAGGAGGAGGAGGGGGGGGGAGAGCACCAGGAGGAGGAGAACGAGGACCACCAGGAGGAGGAGGAGGAGGAGGAGGAGGAGGAGGAGGAGGAGGAGGAGGAGGAGAGAGAGAGCACCAGGAGGAGGAGGACGAGCAAGACGAGGAGGACGAGAACGAGGACGAGCAGGAGGAAGAGGAGGAGGAGGAGGAGGAGGAGGAGGAGGAGGAGGAGGAGGAGGAGCAGGAGAAAGAGGAGGAGGAGGAGGAGGAGGAGGAGGAGGAGGAGCAGGAGAAAGAAGACGAGCAGGAGGAGGACGAGGACGAGCAGGAGGAGGAGGAGGAGGACGAACAGGAGGGGAGGGCGGCCGGCTGCCCCGAGTCGTGCGCACAAGGGCTCTGAGGAAGGCTCCCAAAGCTCGAGACGCTTTGAATACTTTGTAGTTTCCTCGTAGCTTCCTTTCCATGCCTTTGTAGCTTCCACGCACTCCTGCGTCGCCAAGTTTCTTCTTGCAGCGTCCTTGTCGTGTCGCGGGGTGCGTTTGCGTCACTTCGGTGTTGCTGCGCCTTGAGACGTGTCTCTGCGCTCCCTAAGCTCGAGACGCTTTGAATACTTTGTAGTTTCCTCGTAGCTTCCTTTCCATGCCTTTGAAGCTTCCACGCACTCCTGCGTCGCCGAGTTTCTTCTTGCAGCGTCCTTGTCGTGTCGCGGGGTGCGTTTGCGTCACTTCGGTGTTGCTGCGCCTTGAGACGTGTCTCTGCTGCTTCTTCGTCCCATCGGGGAGTCCAGCGTCACCGAATTTGTCCCAGTATTGTGCTTGTCGTTCCAGGTCGTGCGTACGCGCGCAGAATGTTTCTCTGCAGCGTCCTCGTCGCATCAGGATGTCCAGCGTCGCAGAATGCATCCTTGTAGCGCCTCTTCTTCCAGGGCGACGTGGTCCTGAGTCGCCGCGGACGACTCGCCGCGGACGGTTCCATTCGATTCCGCGGGCGATCGTGCGCATGTAGTTTGCCACGCGCCTGCGCGCGCGGAGAGGGCCTGGGCGCCCATGTCGCCTGCGGGCGACCGCGCGGGTTAGTCCCCGCAAAAGCCAAAGAGGGCATTTCCACACGCCGGGGAAAGCCTAAAAGGGCTTTCGTCTGCCTGATCCTCCCCCCCTCTTTCCTTCTCTTCTTTCATCGAAGTCAGAACCCCCGCCCCCTATGACGTCCTCCGCTGGCCTGGGTGGTCTACTCAGGTCGCGGAGGGGGATAGGGGGGGGGGTCGTTGCCACGGCTGGTGCCTCGATTCACGACGGGGAGGGGGGGGTGCACCGTTCCCTCGGATGGGCACATCCCCCCCTCCAAGGGCCTCCGAGCCCTCCCTCTCCGTCCTTTTCTTCTCCCTTATCCTTCCCTCCCTCGCGGTTTTCGAAGCCTTTGGCGTCTCCGCCCACCACAGCGGGGATCTCGACCCCCAATGGGATTCGTGGAGCGGGGGGGGCCTTGAGAAGCGAAACATTTCTTGGGGCGGGGCCACACAGCACACACATCACATCCATCGAGTCACGCACACAAACAGCAACACGCTTTCTCGACTCCACAGGGGGGGTGCTTCGTGGAGGCATCACTTGTAACTTTGCAATTCTGTAATCATTGCCGTTCTGGTTCAAAGAACTTGGATTGCAGGAGTTCGCGGCAAAAGCGAGCCTTGTCCGCATCCGCTCAACCA